CTGCGGGAGCTGGGGACCCGTGTCTCGCTTGGCCAATAACGGGGCCCCCGTCGCCTGCCTGCCTGCCTTCCCACAGGGCTCCACCTGTCACCAGTGCCGGCAGAAGACCGTCGACACCAAGACCACCTGCCGGAACCCGGACTGCCGCGGGATGCAGGGTCAGTTCTGCGGGCCGTGTCTGCGCAACCGCTACGGCGAGGAAGTGCGCGACGCCCTTCTGGACCCCGTGAGTGAGCCGCTCCGCTCTTCCTCCCTCGTTCTCTGGCGTCTCCCGATTCCAACCCGCTGCCTGGTGCTCCTCCCACCAGGCCATCACGGGGCAGAGACTCATTGTTGGGCCAGTTTTCCCAGAAGCTCACTGATCTATCAGTATGTCTTTGGACTGTAGGAAGAACCCAATTCAAATGGAGGGAGAACATGCGAACTCCCCACATAGTTCCTAAGGTCTGGATTTGAACCTAGGGCCCCAGCACTGCATTTCCTTCCCCCCCTTTTGTTGAACAATCTCTTTGGAAATGGGATTTTTCCGTAAGGCAGCTGCCACTTTCACTTCTGAAAGGGAAGGTTGGCCACCAAGAGGAGGGTTGTACTTCTGCCTGCCTGGAGCCAGTCCAGTGGAGGAGCAGCCCCTCCAGCCCCGGCTTTAATCAGGACCGTCTCTCTCCCGCAGGAGTGGACCTGTCCTCCCTGCAGAGGAATCTGCAACTGCAGCTTCTGTCGCCAGCGCGACGGCCGCTGTCCCACAGGCATCCTGTTCCCCCTGGCGCAGTACCACGGCTTCAAGGACGTGCACTCCTACCTAAGCAGGTGAGGCCCTGCCACAGGGCGTTTCACATGCATGGGGCCTTTCTTGCACTTGAGGCATATAATCTCCCCATCAGTTATCTGGAAGCTTACAATTCTATTCTTTCTGCTTAGCCTTCGCAACAGGATCAAGGATGGAGAGGGCTGCTGACTTGTGGAGTTTAAAGATTTTTACCCCAACTTCCAGGCCCACTACCCCCTCCTAAAAGCTGCATGAGGACTGGTGGACTGACAGTCCCTCAGTGTCACTTGCAGTTCCACCTTAAGACCAAGAGGTGGCACTGTTGCCCCTAAAATTCAACTGCATATGCAGGCGTTGTGCTGCTGTACCTGTCGTTCCAGTGCTTGTGATCTACCTTTGATTGTATATGTTCAATAAAATGTTTTATCTTAACAAATTGAAAACCAAAACCGTAGCTTTACTAAAACCACTAGAGTCTTTCTGCCATTATGTCTATTATGCCCATTTCAAGCAAGGACATATCGGTTGCAGTCTTGAGTCTGATCTAGAACGTGGATCTGCCAGCCCAGGTCCTGTAGAGGTTCAGTAGGTCCCCGATTTCCTACACTATGGAGCATTTTCTGTGACTTGATCATTCATGTGTTTAATTGATCACAATTTAGGATTACCACTTAAGTCGTCCTCAAGTATCGGAGTTCTTAAGTGAGCAGCTGACTTACTTGATTCCTCATCAGCTCACAGGTGTTTCCAGTCATTAACAGAATTGACCTATGAAGCCTCACAGGACCAGAGCTGCAGGCACCGGAGCCAGAGTAAATCCTACAGCATATTACTTAAGGAAAAGGGACCAGTGCCATCCCTTCCCCCTTTTAGACCCGATCCACTACTATGCTCAAGGTGGAGTTAAAGTTTCCAAGACCCAATGCTGGGCTCTGCCAGGTTATGATGAGCTGTGGCTGCTGTTTTCAGAACTTCAAATTTGAACCCAATAAGGACAAGGGGGGGGGATTAGCCCACTGAAGCTGAAGGGTCACATGCCAACCCAAATGATGCTATGGACTACTGGGGCATGGACCACCTTCACAGGTGGTCTCAGATTTTGCAAGGGTCACATGGCTGGTTCTGCTGAAATGGGCTTGGCTTGTGGGGCTTCTACAGGAGTTTGGAGTAGAGGAGGGGCTGGGCCTTGATGTCAAGAGGACCCTTGTGCCTCTTGTCCAACTTAAGGATGTCATCCTGCTAACTCATCCCATCCATCCTGTTGCACAGAGTCAACAGCAGCAGCCAAGTCCAAGCGCAGTGTTTTGCATGGTCTCCCTCTCCTGCTATCGATGCTGGGGTTGGCGCTATAGCACAGCTACTCCAGCCAGGGCATATTAGTGAGCAAGACCCCTCTCCTCAAGGCTCTGCTCCTTAAAGTACTTTGCAATTATCATAACCTAGCCAATGCAAAGTATGAACGAGGCTCGTGGAGGCGGGAAGAGAGCTGAGTAACCATGCTGGAAATATGTAAACTCCACCCAGGGAGCACCCCAAGCGCTGAATCGAACCCTGGACCCCAGAGCCACGAGACAGCAATGCCAACCAACCACTACACTACTTCTCATGCGCAATCTCTCCCTCACAGTCTCAATTTTCCTCTTGCTTAAGATGCCCAAATTGAGGAAATATGAATTTTAAACGTTAAATGCCATTTCCTTCAGTGCTTTGCCCCCTCAGGCACACACTGCTTCTACCCCCTTAAGACCAAAAGCCCTCAGTCCAGTGGCACCACCCTCTCGCCATCTCTGCGCGCACACACTCTTCATCCCATGATCACTTCAGTGGCTCCGAGTCTGTCCAGCTCTTGCAGGTTCTTTTTTAAATGCCAGGAATTAGCTGGTTCAGATCGTTCTGGTTAATAGCCGTAACACATTAGTCAAGGGACGCAGGGAAGTTGTTTTAGATCCATAAAATCTCACCAGACGCTAGGATCTTCATGGGAATTTACAAATTCTAGTTCAGTGAACACATCTGTTCAGAAAAGAGGGAAAGAGAATTGCTTTTGTTAATGGGCCCGAATCATTAGCGAGAAGCACAGGGGCAGAAAGAAATTACTCTCAAGCAGCAGCAGCTCCCTTCTAAAATGTAAACGCCAGGTGTAGGTGCCATGTCTGAGTTTAGCCAGAAGGTGGCTCCACAGCCACAGAAAAAAAACTAGGTGAGAAATCTTCTATTCCTTCTATTTATGGATTTGAAGGAACAATAGGTTCATTCCACGTTGAAAAAGGAAGAAAGAAAACATTTCTGCCGTGGAGCCTTCTTCAGGTGTCAAGCATATTATGGATTTGAGGCGACAGAGTTGAGATTGAGAAATAAACTGCAGGAAGGAGTATTTTAAGCTGTTCAGTACTGAATTCCAATCAATTTTTTTATCTTCAGAAAACAAAGGCTGATAATTCCCATAAAGGACCCAGCGCTGCAACAAACCAGATTTTCACTGCAGGTTTAAAAGCAAACAGGCCAGACTCCAGTGATATGAGGGCGTTGAAATTTAATATGAACTCTCCATACATAAAAAAGAATCAGAAAAACCTCTTATCCAAAAATAGTCATTTTTACATCATTGTTCTCTAAATGATTACGTATCAAAAAATCCCCTGCTGCAAATGCATGTATAAAATAAAGACGATGATTAGCAGTAGAGCTTCCATTTCCATGTAAAATAAATATCCTGTGTATGACCAGTGATATAGCATCCAAATTAAAAAAAAAAAAATCAGGTCACCATCCTTGAACTGTGTAAACGTAAAGGGGAAGACCGGAGCACAACGCATTCAGAACCTCATTTTAACACCCTTGAAATAAAAATAAAGTCCACAAACAGATTTAAATGGAGAACAGGTTACACGTTGTCCATTTTCATCAACAACTGCCCATCAAACTTTGTCTTTCAAGCTGTGGTTGACAGCCTGACAGTCAGCAACCTTCAGTAAGGACAGGCTGACAGCATGAGCCCAGAGGTACACCCCCCCCACACCTCATTTCCAAGCCAAAAACAAACATTTTGATGTTGAAATGTCTTTTAGGTCTTCAGCCAAGGGTTTGAGGGACAGCTGGGTCCCCCTAATACAGAGAGGGAAATCTTTTCACCCTCCCTTCTCCCCACCCCAACCCAGGACCTGCTCTTAAGGTCCTTTAAGATCTCCCACTTCGCTGGAGGGCCACTATCTTTGGGAGACAGAGTTTCAGAGCCGTTAATTGAAAGCCCTCACATAGAAATTAGGATCCCACATCGCCTGGAGTTGAACAGAGGAACTGCAGGAGGGGCACACATACAATAAAGCCAGAAATGCCATAACCCAGCAGGTTTCATAGAAAATCAATACGTCACGTCACTGGACACAGGTAAGAAATGCCAGATCTGACCACTGGAGCCCTGTAGCCGACTCGGTTACGGAAGGCCTCGGACAACAGGATCTCCTGGCACCCATAGCACTTCAGGATGCAGGCTGATCCCTGCTCCCTCCGTTCCTGCACGTCAGCATCGGAGTGCATCTCACTTTCAAGGATTACCTCTCCCCTGCAAATCTCGTCCCATTCGTAACAAGGAAACAGACCAGAGCCTGCTTCAAGCTGAACTTCCCACCCAGCAGCCATGGGGCCCAATGGTGACCCAGAAGTGAAAGAAAAGGTCAGCAACAACAGAACAGCCTGAAAAAGTGAAACACATATGCCTCATTGCAAGGGCAACAGCAGAACAAGATGGAGTCATCCAGGACCTAGAGCCCCTCTTCGACGTCTGTTAAGCCCAGATTCATCTCCACAGACAGTCCAGCTCAGCACACAAATCCTCTGCAATACCGCCCACTGCAAATCCAAACAGTTCAGCAGGGCCACTCCTCTTTCACATTGGCACTTTCGCAGCAGACAAAATACCCTAATAAATAAAAAAGGGTTTATTAATTTCCCTTTGTAACCTGTTAGCTATCCAAAATGTTAAGGCTATTTAAAACGGGTTCTTCTCTTTTCAAAGCAACAACCGCGATGTAATAAAATGTGTCAAATATTTTTCAGAACACGAGAGTTTGACAGCCACACCTCCTTCCCCCCATAAGTTAAACAAGTGTTCCCACCCCAGGTGACTAAACTGTAATTAGAGGATGCTTTCATTTTAACAATCAATCCACACAAGTAGTTATGACTTCAAAATGAAGTTTCCCCAACCTCTGATCAGACTGAGAAATTAACTGGCAGGGTGGAAAGTCATCTTGACTGATTTACTAGGTAATATGAGCACTGCAGAAATCCAGAACCTCAAACAGAAAGCAAGCCTGGTTAATAATCAGCTCTTCTGTAGTTTCGCACTCTAAAGATTTTTGTACACAAAAGGTTCGTATTACACAGATCTGAAAAGACATGCAATCTTGCAGGAGCATTTCAGGATGAATTAGCTACTAACTGCCAAATGGTCTCAACTGACCAAATAGATTCCTCTCGTTTATAACTGTTCTCGGCTCAAAACAGCACAGCTACTGAGCTGATCAATAGATTTTAAATCTTGAAGGCAATCCTTGACAAATGGGGTGATCACAAGATTGCCTCATACTTTTCTAGGGAACAGCATGTATTGCACATCCTTATTTTAGCACCGCTAAGGAAGCAGTTAAACAGAATGCATGTGGGTTTCCACACTGGGACAAATCGCAGAAGTATAAAATGCACTGGATAAACTGGTCGAGGCAATGCAGGAAAACAAGACTCCCAGAGCACAGAAGTTCGATCCATTTCACATTTTATGCACTGCAGGTTTTCAACAGTCTTCTACAGAAGAAGCTGCTGTAAACTGAATATTATCTGAAGCACTATGTCCTTACACGTTAAGCCAAACTACAGCAGCAGATGCGTATTACCCAGAACCCCAAGGCTGGACCGTGCAAGTGCCTGGAGCTTCTAAATCCAGAAACGGAACAAACTTGCAGAGCATCGGGAAGTTTCTCTCAGTCGCCCTGCATTTTCAGAAGCCCCTATCCCTCCTGGGCCAACCCCAACCCTTGAACAAAGGACAGCTCCTCATGAATAAAACAGTGCAGGAAAAGCATATAAAACATACTGTACCTCGTCATTATAAAACTCGGACCCTACTGGCCAGATTGTTAGGAAAGAAAGGCCAATCGAGACATGCCTCCCTTGGACCTGTTCGAGCGTAAGGCTTACATGCATCTACACCTTTTACCCCCAGAGAATTCAACTTTAATGAAGTTTATTTGAAGAAAAAAAAAAAGATGGCGGCCGGCTGTGCCACACAACCCGAGGGCAGAACCCAACGGAGCCCAGCTGCAGGTTGGCTAGCCTTGTTCAAGGGGATATTCACCTTGTCCGGTTCAATAAACCAGACTGCGCCAAGTAGATATACATATATAAAAGTTCAAGAATGTTTGCATATGACATGTATATACACACATACACAGAATAAGGCAATCTAGGGTGACCATACAAATTGATCCCTCCTATGTTAAGATCTTTTTGCTAGATTATAAAAAAATTCATACAGAGAAAAGAGATTTTTGCAATGATAACAGTTTATCAAGGCATGATGGCTTTGAGTGTACCTATATTTAAAAAATAACAAAAAAATAAATCTGTGTCGGATATAAGTAAAATGCTCTGAAGTTAAACCCCTTTTGACCTCCCTCACCGCCCCACCCCATCAGGCTGTTTTCCCTGCAGATGGGCGAGGTGGACTAGTGTTCGTGAGTGGAACATGGAGTGGCCCCTTCCTTTCAAACCGTTGCCCCCTCTCTCCATCACAAACGGTAAGCATCGGGGGGGAGGGGGGTCCCTCAGAGGCCATCCAAGGGCAAAATCACTTCTGCCCTGCTTCCGAGAGCCCGGAGCGGCGGACTGCCAGTGTAGTGTGTCGCGGCGACAGGCAGCGTTCAAACGTTCATTCTCCCGCAACAAGAAAAGGAAGGAGAGGGAGTGGGGAGTGGAGATTCAGACTCGGGTTGGACTGTCACCCCTTCTCTCCTGCCTGCCCTCCCTCCCCCACAGGACTCCAAACCACTCCGCTCCTCCGATCGGCCTGCCTTTCAGGCAGCCTTGCTCACACCCGTCCAGTCCCCTCCCTCAGCCTGCGCGGGCCTCAGTACCCGTTGTTCATGTTGATGGAGTGCAGGTCGGCCACCTGCATGACGTTGATGCCGCTGCTGGCCAACCGAGCGATGCCCTCGGGGGAGAGGGTCTCCATGGTGATGAGGGCGTGCTGGTCCGAGGCCACGCCTGCCTCAGAGACGGGGGCGGTCTCCACGGGGACGGGGAGGCTGTTGCTGGGGGCGGTCCCGTTTCCCTTCTTGTTCTGGTGGGTCTTGATGTGCTTGGAGAGGTGGTCACTTCGCATGAAGCGCTTGGGGCACTCGGGACACGTGAATTTCTTCTCACCTGGAAGCATGTGACAGGTCAGGGGTCACGGAGAGAGAGAGAGAGAGAAAGCAGGGAGTGGCGGTTTATTTAAGGGCAGACAGAGGTCTTAGAAACGCCGGAGGTTTTGAGAATTCTTCAGCGCATTCTCGTACTGATTCAGCTCAGTGCTGCAGCGATGCAGGAGAAGGGAAGGCAACATGCAGGAGTCCTGCAATACACGCCATCTGCTTCATCTGGAGAGCCACAGTGCCCTAGTAAGAACAGCTGCTGTGCCTGCCCACAAGGAAACAAGCTCCCTGCCACCCGTGGCAGCAAGTGCCCTGGCCACCTACACTGCACTGCTCGGGAAATTCAGACAAGAGCTTGTCTGGAATACAGAGCCCGCCCTGAACTCTGATCCACAGGGCTGAGTCACAGAGTAACCCCAAGATCACAATTAGTGCTCTTCTCACTGATCCATTCCCTTAAACGGCTACAGGCCTAAATATTAATCAAAGCTTTGTTTTTCAAATGCAGTTACTCCCCGACTGGCTCTTCTCATTAGCACTATAATTACAGTAATCAGCTGAAGTAATTTATTAATAGAACCGTACTCTTGCAGAGTAATTTACAGAGCCCTGGCACTCTGTTCAGGCATGTCTAAAAGGGGGACGCTGCACACACACACA